CCCAGCTAATTTTTTGTATTTTTAGTAGAGACGGGGTTTCACCGTGTTGACCAGGATGGTCTCGATCTCTTGACCTCGTGATCTACCCGCCTTGGCCTCCCAAAGTGCTGGGATTACAGGCTTGAGCCACCGTGTCCGGCCGATTTTTTTTTTAAATCTTGATTGACAGATGACAATTGGTTATACATTTTATGATGTACAACATTATAAATATATGTGTACATATTGTGTAAAGATTAAATCGTCAATTAATATATCAATCAAGCCAATTCACATAGCAATCACCTCATACTTAAATTTTTGATGAGAACATTTGAAATCTACACATTTGGCAACATTAAAATATACTATACGTTATTGTTAATTATAGTCATCATGCTGTAACACTATACATTAGGTCTCCAAAACTAGTAATTCCTCCTGTTCAACTGAAACTTTGTACCTTTTAACCTTTTTCTCCCCATCCTCCATTCCTCCTGTCCTTAGTAACCATCATTTCACTCTCTGTTTCTATGAGTTTAACTTTTTTAGATTCCACATATAAGTGAGACGTTGTGCATTGGTCTATGTCTGAATTATCTCACTTAACATAATGCCATCCAGGTTTATCCATGTTGTTGAAAAAAACAGAACTTCCTTTGTTTTTAAGGCTGAGCCAGGCATGGTGGCTCACGCCTGTAATCCAAGCACTTTGGAGGCCAAGGCGGGCGGATCACCTGAGGTCGGGAGTTCAAGACCAGCCTGACCAACATGGTGAAACCCCGTCTTAAAGAAAAAAAAGATTTTAAGGCTGAATAGCAGTAAGGCATGGTGGCTTTTGCCTGTCATCCTAGCACTTTGGGAGGCCAAGGCAGGAAGATTACTTGAGTACAGGCGTTTGAGACCAGCGTGGGCAACAAACTGAGACCCTGTCTCTACATACAGAATTTTCCTTTAAGTTAGCCAGGTGTCAGTGGCATGCACTTGTGGTGCCAGCTACTTGGGAGGTTGAGGTGGGAGGATTGCTTGGATTTTGGGGTTCAAGGAGGCAGTGAGTTATGATCACGCCACTGCACTCCAGCCCGGGTGACAAAGGAAGATCTTGTCTTGCCTAGGCTTCCTGGAATCTTCCTAGTAGGTAGGATTCTGCTTCTGGAAGAAGAAGGAGTGAATATCAGTTCTGCAGGATACACATTTCCTTTCCTTTCTTTCTCTTTCCTTCCTTCTTGTTTTGCTTTTTTTTTTTTTTTTTTTTTCTTGAGACAGAGTTTTGCTTTTGTTGCCCAGGCTGGAGTGCAATGGTGAGATCCTGGCTCACTGTAACCTCTGCCTCATGGGTTCAAGAGATTCTCCTGCCTTAGCCTCCCAAGGAGCTGGGATTACAGGCATGTACCACCATGCCAGCTAATTTTGTATTTTTAGTAGAGAAGGGTTTTCTCCATGTTGGTCAGGCTGGTCTTGAACTCCTGACCTCAGGTGATCTGCCCGCCTTAGCCTCCCAAAGTGCTGAGATTACAAGCGTGAGCCACCACTCCAGGACTTCTTTCCTTCTTTCTTTTTTTCTTTCTCTTCCTTCCTTTTTTTCCTTTATTTTTATTTATATTTATTTATTTATTTGAGACAGGGTTTTACTCTGTCACCTAGGCTAATTTTTTAATTTTTTTTTGTGGAGACATGGTTTTGCCATGTTGCCCAGGCTAGTCTCAAACTCCTGGGCTCAAGCCATCTGCCTACCTCCCCGCCTAAGTGCTGGGATTACAGGTGTGAACCACCACGCCTGGCCCCTGGAAGGACCTTACTATCTAAGTCTTGCACTTCATTTAACTTTGCTTGTTTATTTATTTATTTATTTATAAATGAATGAATAAGACAGGATCTCTCTCTTCTGCCCAGGCTAATGTACAGTGATGCAAACACAGTTCACTGCAACCTCCATCTCCCTGGCTCAAGCAATCCTCCCACCTCCGCCTCCCCGGTAGCCAGGACTAAAACATTTTGTAGAAAAAGGGGTATCGATATTTTGCTGAGGTTGGTTTGGATCTCATGCGCTCAAAGATCTTTCCACCTCAGGCTTTAGTAGCTGGGACGGCAGGGGTCCCTGAGCAGCAGGCCTCATTTCGCCTTGCTTTCCAGGGGCATGCCCTTGGCTACTTGCAATGCCCTCAAGCAGCCCTTCCCCAGCCCCTAGACAAGATTAAAGACCCTGTGTCACACACTTTTATACCACCTGGGGCTCTGCCTCCCAGATTCAGGCGATTATCCTGCCTCAGCCTCCTGAGTACCTGGGATTACAGGCATGCACCGCCACGCCCAGCTAATTTTTGTATTTTACTTCATCAAGAATAGAGACAGGGTTTCACCATGTTGGCCAGGCTGGTGTCAAACTCCTAAACTCAAGGGATCTGCCCGCCTTGGCCTCCAAAAGAGCTGGGATTACAGGCGTGAGTCATCATGCCTGGCCCACTGGCCAAGAAAGGTTTTTGTTTTTTTTTTTTTTTTTTTTTTTTTTTTGAGACGGAGTCTTACCCTGTCACCCAGGCCAGAGCACAGTAGCACGATCTCGTCTCACTGCAACCTGAAACCTCCGCCTCCCAGGTTCAAGCAATTATCCTGCCTCAGCCTTCCAAGTAGTAGAAGTAAAAATACCCAGAAAGATATTTTTAAGTTTTATCATGAGATGGTACTTTAGAACATTTTAATTTGCAAATGATTTTCGCTTTAATTTTGATACTTGATTGCATTGCATTGGAATGGGGGTGGAAATATAAATATTTCTTCCTGTCAAGGGACTCTTGAGGCTCCGCCTCCCCCGCTTCCTAATCTGTATTGCAGAGGCTGTAAGAACAGTGAGTGGAAGGCCTGAAATTCAGTGGAGAAGGTTCCAGGGAGGCGCTAGAGAAGGAGGAGGAGGGAGGGAGAGAGGTAGGGAAGGAAGCGAGAGGGGAGGGGAAGGAACCAGGATAGACTTTTGACCCCTGGAAATGGATTAAGAAGGGAGTGGGCTGCTGCTTAGGGAAAGCTGTTGAAGAATCACAGTGAGGACCCTGTTCGGACACCTGGAAATCCCATGGCAGCCCAGTCTTCAAGGGCTGTGGCAGTGAGACCCGCTCTGCCCCCTGGGGCGTCCTGGACAACTGCAGGTTTTATTCTCTGCAGCTGAGTGATCTGTGAGCACTTTCCTGCAACTGGAGAGACATCTGCCTTTTAACTCCCTCACCCGTTTGAGCTCTGTTGGAACAGTCATGTGGACTGTCCCCGACCCGGCATCCCATCGCTTCTGAGGCACACTCCAGAGAAGGTGGGAAAGAGGAGGGAGGACGCCCACCACCAGCTGAGCCAACCTGGAAGGCAGCTCCTGGGCTTGGCCCTGAAACCCGACCCTCATTCTTTCCTTTGAGTACAATTGGAGGAACGGTTTTGGCAATCAAGCTGGACAACAACCGAAAATCCAATCAGGATAAACTGCTTCAGACACGTGACTGGAAAATAATTGGGTTTTAATGGACTTAAAAGGAGTGGGACTGGCCTGGAGTGGTGGCTCACGCCTGTAATCCCAGCACTTTGGGAGGCCGAGACGGGCGGATTACCCGAGGTCGAGAGAGTTCGAGACAAATCTGACCAACATGGAGAAACCCGGTCTCCACTAAAAAATACAAAAGTTGGCAGGGGTGGTGGCGCATGCCTGTAGTCCCAGCTACTCGGGAGGCTGAGGCAGGAAACTCGCTTGAACCTGGGAGGTGAAGGTTGTGGTGAGCCGAGATCGCGCCATTGCACTCCAGCCTGGGAGCAGCAGAAACAGCGCCCGCGGCAACAGTGCTGCTGGTCGCTGGACAAATTTCTCTGGGAGGTGGCGGACAAGGAAGCTGCGACTTTGCTTTCCCTTGTGGCCTGGAGTAGAACATACTGAGCTGCACTGAATCATCTGGATGCACACGCAACTTTAGGAACCGGTGAGCTGATGGTATCTTTCATTTTGCTTCTCTAAAACTAGAGGTGGCAAACTTGTTCTTTGAAGGACTAGATGGTAAATATTTTAGGCGTTGCGATTCTCTGCTGCAACTACGGTAGTCTTCCCTTATCCACAGTTTTGCTTTTCGTGGTTTCAGTTACCTGCGGTTCCGAAATATTAACTGGGAAATTCCAGAAATAGGCAATTCATAAGTTTTAAGTCGTCAGCCCTTCTGAGTAGTGTGATAAGATCTTGAGTCAGCCCTGCCCTGCGATGACAATCCTCCCTCTGTCCTGAGCCCCTATGCTGTTGGCTGTCTGCCTTCTCTGTCCCTTAGTCGCTAAGGAGCCTTTGTAGTTATCTATCGGAGTGACTGTCCTGCTGGTACCTCTGTGCTTGTGTTCAAGTAACCCTTATGTTACTTAATAATGGCCCCAAAACACAAAGATAGCAATGCTGGTGATTCAAATGTGCCAAAGAGAAGCTGTAAAGTGCTTCCTTTAAGTAAAAATGGGAAGTTTTAACATAATAAGGAAAGAAAAAAAAATCAAGCCGGGCGTGGTGGCTCAAGCCTGTAATCCCAGCACTTTGGGAGGCCGAGGCGGGTGGATCACGAGGTCAAGAGATCGAGACAATCCTGGTCAACATGGTGAAACCCCGTCTCTACTAAAAATACAAAACATTGGCTGGGCATGGTGGCGCGTGCCTGTAATCCCAGCTACTCAGGAGGTTGAGGCAGGAGAATTGCCTGAACCCAGGAGGCGGAGGTTGCGGTGAGCCGAGATCGTGCCAAACAAGAGTGAAACTCCGTCTCAAAAAAAAAAAAAAAAAAAAAATCATAAGCTGAGGTTGTCACCATCTACAGTACATAAAAATATTTTGTCAGCAAGAGACGACATTCACATACCTTTAATTTAATTAACTAATTAAGTATGTAAATTAAATTTTTTTTGAGACTTAGTTTCACTCTGGTCGCTTAGGCTGGAGTGCAGTGGCACAATCTCAGCCCACTGCAACCTCTGCTTCCTGGGTTCAAGTGACTCTCCTGCCTCAGCCTCCCAAGTAGCTGGGATTACAGGCGCGCACCACCACGCCCAGCTAATTTTTGTATTTTTAGTAGAGACGGTGTTTCACCATGTTGGCCAGGCTGGTCTCAAACTTCTGACCTCAGGTGATCCACCAGCCTCACCCTCCCAAAGTGCTTGGATGACAGGTGTGAGTCACCACACCCTGCCTCACATACCTTTTAGTAGAATATATTGTTATAATTATTCTGTTATTTTTAACCTCTTACTGTGCCTAATTTGTAAATTAAATTTGATCATAGGTATGTATAAATATGAAAAAACATAGTACATATTGAATTTGGTTCCATCTGCAGTTTCACGCATCCACGTTGTGGGGCTTGGAACACATGTCCTGAAGGTAACGGAAGACTACTGTACTCAACTCTGTCATACAAGTGCAAAAGCAGCCACGGACAACAGCACTAAACAAATGATCATGGCTGCTTCCACAACACTTTAAGGCGAACACTGACATTTTGAATGTTATATAATTTTCACATGTCACAAAATACTCCTTTTGCTTTCAAATTTTTTTATTTTTATTTTTTGAGACAGAGTCTTGCTCTGTCAGCCAGGCTGGAGTGCAGTGGCACCATCTTGGCTCACTGCAACCTCCACCTCCCAGGTTCAAGAGATTCTCCTGCCTCAGCCTCCCGAGTAGCTGCGATTACAGGCATCCACTACAACGTCTGGCTAATTTTTGTATTTTTAATAGAGATGGGGTTTTCACCATGTTGGCCAGGCTGGTCTCAGACTCCTGAGCTCAAGTGATTTGCCCACCTTGGCCTCTCAAAGTGCTGGGATTACAGGCATGAGCCACCGTGCTTGGCTTCCTTTGGCTTGTTTATTCCCCCAAATTTAAAAATGTAAAAGTTTAAAGAAATCTTAATAATAAAAAAAAAGTAAGAAAACAATGACTTAAAAATGTAAGAAACATTCTTGGCTTCCTGACTGTTCAAAAACGGAACGGGCCAATTTTCCAATCCCTGTCTTAAACCATTATTTGCCAGAATGCTGCTGATATCCCATTAGTGAACTACAAAATAAATTTAGTGGGCTGTCAGCTTACAAAAAGAAATAGGATTTTTCACTGACCCTAAGATGCCATCATTTATAAAAGATACACGACTCTTTCTCTCTTTTTTGTTTTTACATCTGTTGGGAAACGTGCTGGTATAACAAGGTCTGAGGGAGGCACATCTCACATGAGTGAAAACCCAAACACATCCTTATCCTCACAAAAGGATCTGAGAGACATCATTTTTGATTCCACTGTAAAATAAGAATATATTCTGCAAAAACAAATAATGAAATGTGTTTCGTATTGATGAGATGCAATCTGATTTAGAGATGTTAAAATGGAAATATAAGCCTGTACTGTACGATCAATAAAATATGGCATAGAAGGTATCAGAGCCTATCCCTTATAGTCAGTTGAAGGTGAAGGTATTTGTTTTAATTTATACACACGTACACATAGGTTTACCTTCTCCCTTACACAACAACGTTAAATCATTTGGATTTGGATTTCATTAAATGCTTACAGAACCTGGAATAATGGCTTAGAGCCTCTTGTACACCTACGTGATCATATTAATAACTGCTACTATTTATTTAACAAAGATTCAGCATGTACAGTGCTCGCCTCAGCCTCCCAAAGTGCTGGGATTATAGGCATGAGCCACCTTACCTGGCCTGTTGTTAAGACACAGTCTACTTTGGGAGGCCGAGGCGGGTGGATCACCTGAGGTTGGGAGTTCGAGACCAGCCTGACTAACATAGAGAAACACCGTCTCAAAAAAAAAAAAAGACACAGAGTCTTCCTTTTCTCTGTCACCCAGGCTGGATGCAGTGACATGGTTATAGCTCACTGCAATCTCAAACTCTTGGGCTTGCAAGATATATTTTACATATTGTGTGGTAGGCAGTGAAAATGCTAAGTTGAAAAATAGCACTGAGGGTTAGAACATATGAGTTAAGGAGCTTGTGATTTTTGATATTGTGGTGGCGGAATCCTTGCTGAGAGGAACCATGGCCTCTGGCAGACCAGGACCCCAGGTGAGGTTAATCTGGGGAAAGAGGCATGCAAGGTTGGGGAACAATAAAAGTTCTGAAAAAGAAAAAGGCCTGGTGTGTTCCAGACTCATGGAGCTCAGGATGGCTACACCAGAGCAAGAGAGGAATTAGCAAGGGCAATGATGACCGAAGGTTCTGTGGGGAAATTTTAAGTTTACTGGTATTTCCTAAGAATGAGATGGAAAGTCATTGAAGGCTTACTTGCTCTCCTGTATATTTTAACAGGGGCATTGGGGCCACCATGGGGAGATCTGACAAAACGTTTAAGACTGGCAGCTTATGCAATGATCCAGGGAGAGAACATGGTACCTTCCATCCAGGAGGTGGCAGTGGATACAGAAGGGAGGAGTCAGATTCTGGGTATCTTTAGAGGATACAGCAGACTGGGTTTGCTAATTGATTGGCTGTAGGATATGAGAGAAAGTCTGGCAAAGGATGACTCTGAAGTTTGTAGACTGAGCAACTGGGTTTACTGAGAAAAGGAACATTACAGGAACAGGAAAGGGTGTGTGTGGGTGTCATGGGGTTTTTTGTGTATGTGATGGGGTCTCACTTGGTTGCCCAGGCTGGAGTACAGTGGCATGATCACAGCTTTGAAGTCCTGGGCTCAAGGGTTTCTCTTGCCTCAGCCTCCCAAGTAGCTGGGGCTACAGCTGTGTACCACCATGCCAAGCTAATTTTTTTTTATTTTTTTGGTAGAGATGGGGTCTTGCTATGTTGCTCAGGCCAGGAGCAGAATGTTTTTGAGAGAAGTTTTGTTCAAGTTGGTTAGAAAGCTTAGACATGTGAGTGAGTACACGTGGGATGAGGAGGAGATGAGTGAGGCATCTAGGGTGCAAAATTTAAAGAGGCGAGCACTCTTGAGATGTTCCATCTGCACCTTCTGAAATCTTGCTTCCTTTGCCTCACAATGGCAGAAGACCAGGGGAGGAGAGAGAGAGGTAAATTTGAAATTATCATGCCATTTAAATGTTTCAAGCCTTATTTCTGATGTGTCAAATAGTGATGTTAATAGTTATCTCAGTGTTTTTTTTTTTAAGATGGGGTTTCACCATGATGCCCAGGCTGGTCTTGAACTCCTAACCTCAGGTGATCCACCCACCCCGGCCTCCCAAAGTGCTAGGATTACAGGCGTGAGCCACAGCGCCCGGCCTTAGTTATCTCAGTGTTTTAAGGGAGGATACAATAAAGTAATGATTTTGTTTTTTGAAATAAATATTGACTATTGTCACATGGTTGCACTTAGGTGGCAGTTTGTAAAAAGACAGCTGTGGAAGTTGAAGGGACCAGTGGCTTCAAGCAAAAAGTAAATTGAAAATGGGAGACGTCTTTTTGTGTAAGGACGCAGAATCACCACAGAAGAATCTGAGAGAATCCAAACAGAAGGACAAGCATGATGAAGACCCAGAGCTGATCTTCGTTGGGGTGGAGCATGCACATAAACACGCCGAAATTCTCTTTGTTGGGGTGATTTCAAATTCAAAACCAGTCATTTCAAACATTTTGAACAGAGTCACCCCAGGCTCAAATTCAAGAAGAAAAAAAGGCCGTTTCCGTCAAGATCCTGCTCACGTGTCACAGCCTGCCAATCATGTGACTTCGATGGCAAAAGCCATTATGCCAGTTTCGCCATCTGAGGAAAGATCAACAGATAATCCTGTCACTATGGAGTCTTCATCTGAACCTGGTTGTAAAATGAGCTCACCACAAGTTGTCTCTCCCAATTCCTCAGATTCACTCCCACCAGGGACTCAGAGTCTAGTCAGAGCTGTGGTCTCTGGAGAAGGCAGAAATGAGAATTCTCCTGATTCAAAGCTACATTCCACTTCAGATATAAACAGCAGAAATCCCAAAAGGGTTAAACTCAGGGATGGAATCCCAGGGGTCCATTCTTTAGCTGTAGTCCCTTCAGCTAACTCTCCTATTATAAGCACAAATGCACCCTCACAGGGGGTCTGCAACTCATCAAACCATGTTCAGAATGGAGTAACATTTCCTTGGGCTGATGCTAATGAAAGGGCACATTTCAATCTTAGGAATCCTGAGAGAGCAAATGACTTTGATGGCCTGGTAATAACAGACGTTTCAAGTCTAGCAAGTCAAAAGAAGACCTTTGATCCCAAGAAAGAAAATCTGATCATGTTACTTAGTGACTTTTACTATGGACAGCATAAAGGAGATGGGCAGCCGGAACAGAAGACTGACACCACCTTTAAATGCCTCAGCTGCTTGAAAACTCTAAAAAATGTTAAGTTTATGAATCACGTGAAGCATCATTTGGAATTTGAGAAGGAGAGGAACGACAGCTGGGAAAACCACACCACCTGCCAGCACTGCCACCGGAAGTTTCCCACTGCCTTCCGGCTACAGTGTCACGTTGACAGTGTGCACATCGCCCAGGGGCCCTCTGCTGTCTGTAAGATCTGTGAATTGTCATTCAAAACAGATCAGGTCCTCTTACAACACATGAAGGACCATCACAAGCCTGGTGAAATGCCCTACGTGTGCCACGTTTGTCATTACAGATCATCATTCTTTGCTGATGTGGAAACACACTTCAGAACATGCCACAAAAACACAAAGAATTTGCTTTGTCCCTTTTGTCTCAAAATTTTCAAAACTGCAACACCATACATGTGTCATTGTTGGAGGCATAGCAGGAAGAGAGTCCGTCAATGTTCCAAGTGCCGGCTGCAGTTTTTGACGTTGAAGGAGGAAACAGAGCACAAAACCAAGAACCACCACACATTTAAAAAGCCAGAGCAACTGCAAGGGTTGCCTCGTGAAACAAAAGTTATTATTCGAACTTCAGTTCAGCCAGGCTCAAGTGATGTGGCTTCCATTATTGTGAGCCTGGGTAACAAGAGCAAAACTCGGTCTCAAATAAATAAATAAATTAATTTAATTAAATTAAAGTTAGAATAAGCAAGATGAACTTTTGCTGTGTGTAGCAGTAGCACATTCTTTTTCATTGCTGGGTAGAATTTTGTTGAGTGACGATGGTAGATTTACATAAATCTATTTCACCGTTGATGGACTTTGAGGCTGATTCCTTGGCAATTTTGAATAAAGCTGCTATGAGCTTGTGCGGGTCTTTTGGTAAGCATGTAGTCACTTCTTGTGGGTATATGTAGCTATGAGAAGTGCTGGAACTGCATATATTTAGCTTTCTAGTGTAGATACTGCCAAATACATTTCTAAAGTGATTGAAACAATTTACATTCCCACCACTGATATTGAGAATTCCATTGCTACTGATCCAGCACTTGGTATTGTCAGTTCTTTCAGAAAGTGCCCTTCTCTTAAGGTTGTAGTGGTATCTCACTGTGGCTTTAATTTGCATTTCCCTGATGAGTAATGGATCTTGAGATTATATAGTTATTGGCTACTTGAATGTTTTTTTTTTGAGATGGAGTTTCGCTCTTGTTACCCAGGCTGGAGTGCAATGGCGCGATCTCGGCTCACCGCAACCTCCGCCTCCTGGGTTCAGGCAATTCTCCTGCCTCAGCCTCCTGAGTAGCTGGGATTACAGGACGCGCCACCATGCCCAGCTAATTTTTTGTAGTTTTTAGTAGAGACGGGGTTTCACCATGTTGACCAGGATGGTCTCGATCTCTTGACCTCGTGATCCACCCGCCTCAGCCTCCCAAAGTGCTGGGATTACAGGCGTGAGCCACCGCGCCCAGCCTTGAATATTTTTTAAAACTTAAATGTCTATTCAAGTTTTGCCCCCTCCTACCTTATTAAAAACTGGGCTGTTGACCGGGAAGCATATGGGGAAAGTACTGGGGCACTGGAAATGTCCCATATTTGGATCTGGATGGTGGTTTTATGGGTGTATATTTGTACATTAAAGTTCGTCTTTCATGTGCCTTTATTTGTGGAAGACAGTGTGGCGATTCCTCAAGGATCTAGAATTAGAAGATAGCTGTAAAAAATCTCATAGATTTCAAAAATAAATAACATATACTATACAACCCTTGTGTTAGAAAGAATCACTAGGAAAATTAGGACATAACTAATTGAAGAATAATGAACATATTACCAAGCAGAACAGGTGGGACACAGTTAAACTGGCACTTAAAGGTAAATCTATAGCATCAAATACAAGAGAAATGAGAGTTTACAAGCAAATGAGGTAGGCATTTATTTCTAAAAGTTATAAAAAGGAGTAACAGAGCAAGGCTATGAAGACAGGAAGACAGGCAATAGAGTGGAAGAAATAGATGAAATAAAGAAGAAAATAATATTATAGATTAATGAAACCCAAAGCAATTAACACTCCCCCCCCTAAAAAAAAAGGTTGCTAAAATAGACTTTTGGCAGAATTGGTTAATTTCAAAAAAATTCAAAAGCTGCAAATAAATTGAGGGTGGGCAAACTTTCTGTAATGGGCCAGATAGTAAATATTTTAAGCTTTTCATACATGGTCCTTGGCAATTAATTAACTTTGCTGTTGTAGCAGGAAAAGAGGAAAACAATACCTAAAGGAATGGGTATGCTTGTTGTTCCAATAAAACTTTATGGACACTGAATTTTGAATTTCATACAATTTTCACATGCCACAAAATAATATTCTCCTATTTTTTTTTAGCCATTAAAAAAACCCGTAAAATCTGTTCTTAAGCTTCCTGCCAGCTGTACAAAAACAGGTGGCAGGCTGGATTCGACTGGCTCCAGATGTAACTTGGAGAGGACAGATGTAAGGCTCCGCTGTTTCGTCAAGATCCCTTAAGCATGGACAGTCAGCCAAGGGACCACACCTTAGGATTATAACAGCTGGACTACTAGTGGGCCCACTGTCCCCTGATGGATTGGAAGCCCCTCTCCGGCGCCAAGTCCTGGCCGCCTCAACTCTGGAGCCCTGACTACCAGAGATCCTTCCAGGGCCTCAGGGGCATTGCCGCTGCCCTCCTCCCTCTGACCCTAACCCCGCGTCCTGCATTCGCCACCAGGGGCATCAGAGCGCGCGCATGCGCCCAGCTGGCCGCGCCGACCTCGCGCCCGCACCTGGCAGCCAATCGCAGGTCTCCGCTGGACGCGCGCCTGTGGAGGCGAGCGCGTTGGCGGCGCCGGGGGCCTGAGGAGGCGTAGTCGCCGCCGGCTTTTCCCCGGGAGCGCCTCCGGGACCGGTGCGTGGCCGGCAGCTCAGGAGCGGCAGCTGAAACCGGTAAGGACGGGGGCGTGGCGCGGCTTCAGCGCTCCCTGAGGGGAAACTTGAGGGATTTCTGGCCAGTCGCAGCCCTGCGGGTCGCGACACCGCGCCTGGCCGTGCGCTGCCGGAGCGGCCTTTGCAGCCGCTTTCTGTTGAGAGCGAGGGCAGAAGCGGGTCTCAGTCCCCTCAGGCGCACCTACTTCCCTAACCTCGGCCGGCGCTGCTTGCGCATCAGCCTCCCCTCCCCCACGCGGGCGCCCCCACCCGGGCTGGGCCCAGGCTCTGGAGAAGGGGCCCTTTCCTGCCTCCCAGTGCGCTCCCCTCCCCCATGGCCCGCGCGGGCTCTCTTTTGGCGCTCAATATATTTAAAAATCTGAAACCTGTTTTGTAACCCCAGGCCCTCCCTCCTTCTGGAGATCTGTAGGCCCAGACCCCCTGAGGCATTTAAACGTATCCGCCTCTCTCCCCTGCGGCAGCGTCTTTGTGTCTTGTTTACTGCGCGGCCCCCGTGCTCTAATGGAGTCCCTGCTGTGAGGGCCCGGACCTAGGGTGACTGGGAGGCGTTTGATGTGGGCATTTGGCGGGCGGGATGTGTCCTTTACTAAGGGTAGGTTGGAGGAACAGATACGGGGGAAGTGGAGTTCACTTTTCTGGTTAAGTGTGAGATGACTGACAAAACACCCACATTGCAATGTCAGGTAGGCGGTGGGATCGAAAATATTCTTTTAACATGTAAGTAACTAATGCTTCTCTCTGGTTACCTCAAGGATGTGACCTTCTGCTGCCTGGCATAGCTCAAGTTCTTAAAAGTTGCGTGGTAAACCTGAGGTAAGAAGAGAGAGGTCTCTTCAGTACGTGCCAAAGTTGTATCTTTTTTCTTCAGTTTCGCTCTCTTGCCCTTTCCTGTGCTAAAACATGGCTGTTTAGTACTTTTTTTTTTTTTTTTGAGACAGTCTTGTTCTGTCGCCAGGCGCCAGGCTGGAGTGCAGTGGCGCGATCTCGGCTCACTGCAACCTCCGCCTCCCGGTTTCAAGCAGTTCTCCTGCCTCAGCCTCCCAAGTAGCTGGGACTACGGGCACGTGTCGCCACGCCCAGCTAATTTTTGTATTTTTAGTAGAGACGGGGTTTCACCATGTTGGTCAGGATGGTCTCTTATCTCTTGACCTCGTGATCCGCCCGCCTCGGCCTCCCAAATGCTGGGATTACAGGCGTGAGCCACCGCACCCGGCTTTTTTTTTTTTTTTTTTTTTTTGTGGCGGGGGGAGCTGAAGTCTCACACTGTCGCCCGGGCTGGAGTGCAAAGGCGTAATCTTGGCTCACTGCATCCTCCACCTCCCGAGTTCATGCAGTCTCCTTGTTCAGCCTCCTGACTAGCTGGGATTACAGGTGCACACCACCACACCCAGCTAATTTTTTTGTATTTTTAGAAGAGACGGGGTTTCACTATGTCGACCAGACTGGTCTGGAATTCCTGACCTTGTGATCCGCCCGCCTTGGCCTCCCAAAGTGCTGGGATTACAGGCGTGAGCCACCGCGCCCGGCCCCCTGTTTAGTATTTAATATTTTACTGAGGGACTCTGAATGTGTATGATTAGTTCAGGCCAATTGTTGATGTAAGTAATTCGGGAAACCCTCTAAATTGCTCTCTTGAGAAAGGAGAGGAAGGTAGTGGCATTCTTCTGCCAGATCTCTTGAAAAAGAAAGTAACTGGCCGGGCGCAGTGGCTCAGGCCTGTAATCCCAGCACTTTTGGAGGCCGAGGCAGGCAGATCACGAGGTCAGAAGTTGGAGACCAGCCTGACCAACATGGTGAAACCCCGTCTCTACTAAAAATATAAAAAAATTGGCCGGGAGTGGTGGTGCATGCTTGTATTCCCAACTATTCAGGAGGCTGCGGCAGCAGAATCGCTAGAACCTGGGAGGCAGAGGTTGCAGTGAGCCGAGATTGCGTCACTGCACTCCAGCCTGGGCAACAGAGCAAATCTCCCTCTCAAAAAAAAAGAAAAAAAAAAAGTAAGAGCATCATGGATGTTAAGTTTTATAAAGCCGACTTCTTTTATCATACTCTCTCTCTCAAGGGCTGTTATTTCATGAGGTAATTCCATGCAGCTGGACGTGGGGGAGGTCACCTGAAGTCATGATGCTAGTAGGTGAAATTATAGGTGAATTCTATGCCCAGCAATTTGTGATTACAGCTCAGTAAGACCCATTGTATTAGTTATCAACTGTTGTGTAACAAATTGTCTCAAAACCTAGTAGCTTAAAATAAAAAAATGTTATGACCTTGTAGTTTTTGAAGGTCTGGAATCCAAGAGTGGCTTAGCTGGCTGGTTCTGGCTCAGGGTCTTTCATGAGGTTGCAGTTAAACTTTTGGCTGGATTGTCAGTCTCTGCAGAATTGACTTGGATTGGATCATCCGCCTTTAAGCTCACTCGCTGGGCTGTTGGCAGGAGGCCTCAGATCGTCACTCTGGGTGTCTCCATGGGGCTGCTCATGTCAAAGCAGCTGGCTTACTTCAGAGCAAACAATTCAAGAGACCTTGTACCCAAGATAAAGAAGTGCGGAGTCTTTATGACCTAATTTTAGAAGTGGCATACCATCGTTTCCTGCTGTGTGTGCTTGGTCCCTGGTCCCACAGGCCAACCCTGTTACAGTGTGGGAGAAGGCTACAACTGTGTGAATTCTAGGAAGTGGGATTCATTTAGGGCCATCTTGGAGAATGGCTACCACAGCCATGTATC